GGCATTGCATTAAACCTATAGAGAACTTTTGGTAATATCGCCATTTTGATGATGTTAGTTCTGCCTATCCATGAACAGGGTATATATTTCCATCTTCTCCAGCCCTTTTTAATTTTTAGTTTGAGACAGGGTCTTGCTAAGTTGCTTAGGACCTCACTACTTGCTGAGGCTGGCCTTGAACTTGCGATCCTCTTGCCTCAGGCTCCTGAGTTTTGCAGTTATAGGCCTGCACCATTGTGTCCATAATTGTGTCATTATATCCCTTAAAGTGATGGGAATGTAGCACCCCTGATATAGTAGGAAGCAGGAGTAAATGGAGAGTATTTGCTGACATTGCTAGGACCTAAATAAAAGGTTCATAAGTGCTATGATAGGTTTTTTGTCCTTTTTTTTTTTTTTTTTTTTTTAAGAAGAGTCTTTGGTTTTCAAAGCAAATGCAAGGATCTTTATCTCAACCAAGATACTGCCTTTGGTTAATATCAACAAAGATACAATTTCTGAGGTTATGATCTTTTCCCAAATCCAAAGCAGAAAACCATCCAGAAAAATGAGATTCTTCAAAATTTGGTGCATCTCAGATGATCTTATGAACAGTCTTTGGAATCTGTTGTGAGTCTATAACCAATCAAAGACTCTTTACAGCCATCATCCACAATCAGATCCACAATCACATGTGGTTTATCATAACCAAAAGAGGTAGGGGCATTTCTCAGCATTGTGGATATTTGTTCTTCTGTTTTTATTTCAGCTGTATCACTTGGGGGTAATTCTGATTCAGATACGAAGCCATTTGATCCCACGAGGCCACTATCAGAACCATTCCTGGAGTGATAGGAATTCAAGGTGCTGCTGCAGGGTGCTGACAGATTACTACTTGAATGGAGAGAATTCTCTCTCTCTATTGAAGACATAGGGCTGCTCAGGGCCAGGTCAGAAATATTTTCTTCAGTAGTCACCACTTGTGTTTCACTAGAAGGTTCTTTTCTGTGTTCTACTTTTCCTGGTTTATCTTCTGTCTGCATGCCTGGAATTGTTACTGGAGACAATGGCTCTTCACAGACCACCGTCTCATTTTCTACGACAAATGGCTGGTATGATGTGATGATCGATACATATTTTGATTCAGGTTTTGTCTCTGAAGTGGCATTTCTTACCACAGAAAGCTAAGGGAGAGAAAGTGATTAAAGATAGCAAATTAATAAATTATTAAACTTAAATGCCAATTCTCAAAAAAAAAAAAAGCCTAAAGGTCATGAGCTACTACATGGCATATTTAGAATAGTATAATGGAATCAGATAGTTGCTTTTTTCTTTCTTTTTTAAATGAAAAATAATATATTGACATGATAAGCAAATTTGGGAGATTTTTAAGAAGTCATCTAATATCTTACTGAAGTATTATTGCTTTTTGTACATCACCTCATATATGTATGCTTGTTAAATACGTAATGGGAGTACAACTACTTATTTTTTTAAATATTTATTTTTTAGCTTTAGGTGGACACAATATCTTTATTTTATTTTTATGTGGTGCTGAGGATCGAACCCAGTGCCTCACGCATGCCAGGCAAATGCACTACTACTTGAGCCACATTCCCAGACCCAACTACTTATTTTATATAAAAGTTTCATTAATTTTCTTTATCATTATAATTTTCACTGGCTTATATAATTTATACTGATAGTTAATTTCTTTAATAGATGTTAAATTATTTCCAATTTTTGCCAGTTACAGAACATGTTGAATATTTCACATGTATTTTCATTTATGAAATTATTTCCTTAGAATAAAAGACTCTTTACAGGGATGGCAGACTTACAGTACTACCATATTGCACACTCTGCAGGCTTAACTTCCCACTAAGACTACATTATTTTTCCCCTGTACACATAACTTGTACTACTACGGATTACTGGATCATTAGGTTTATTTTTCTTTCTCTAGTGAGTTTAAAATGGCACATTGCAAGGTGTCTTTTTGCTTAATTCCTAGTAAGGATAACTATTATAATTCATATATGAATTGTCAACTAACTATTGATAATTTTTAGCCACTTTCCTTTAAGGTAGTATTTTTATTGCAAATTTCAATATGCCCTTTGAACATTACAGGTATTATTCCTGTCATAATTGATTCAAATAATTATGACTTTGAAATGTTAGACATTTAAGTGTCAAACTCTTTTGAGAGTCCAATTTTTGGCCTTCTCTCTTCTACATTGCAACTATAATCAAAAGCCAGGCTTTCTGGACTTTGGACTTTAGCACATACTGTCCCTTAGAAGCTGGATAAACTCTTACTGTCCTTCAAGACTTCTCAGCTATTTCAGCCTCTGGAAAAGCCACAACTAACCCCACCCCCAAAGATGGCCAGTGTCCTCACTGGCTCCTGTGTAAGCCTCTGCCTTTGAACTTGTCACACAGCACACCAATCGTGTCCTCATCTTTTTTTCTCACTAGACTTTAAGCTCCTCACCAGACTCGTTTGTGTTTTTGTATCAAGAACAAAAGCAGCAGCTGGTGAATAGTAAAAAACATATGATTCTGGATATGTGGAGATTGAGTACTTTTCAATGTAAAGTACTATAGTAAGATTCAATATAACAATGTTCAGCATGTCACATTCTGCTGAATGATGCTGAACATCATTTTAATTTACAAACAAAATTGAAGAAACCTTTCAAAAAAGATTCAAGTTACATTTTAGCATTTATAAATAAAAAAATTAAATACTTTACCAAGGACTTAGGTAACATTCTGCTTTTTTTCTTAAATGGATTCTTCTTAATATGACAACATGCACATACACATAGTATGATAAATACTAGAAAGACTGTGAACACAGCAATAACTGGAATCCAAACAAAATCTAAAGAAAGGAAAAAATAAAACATTAGAATTAAGATGGAATACTGCTACTGCATATCAAAAATCTCAGCCCTTTTTAAAATAGCCTTACACATTAGGTAATTAATATGATCAGAGTTTTAAAGGACATTGGAACAGAAGTTATAGTCAGTGAGTGAAAAATTAGATATGTATCCTAGACAGCAATTGATTCTTCCCAGTTCTGCAATTCTGAAACTTTCTGGAACTATACTGCCATGATACAACATAGTTAAAATAGTTTTCATACTGACTTCCTTACAACCTCAAATATAGGGTGTTCTTAGGGTTATGCTTTTCTGTTAAAAATGCAAAAGGAGGACTTAAAAAGTATCTCTTTTGAGAAATAAACTCTGGCAATGTTTATAACTCTTAAAATAATTTAGCCCTATACCTTAGACTTTTCTGTTACAAGTGCTTATTTCAAGGCACACACAGAGGAATATTGTGCAGGAATAAAATCCCCTTGATTGCAAATTAGATACAAAGAGTAATAAAACATGGGAAAGATCTGGTTCAGAGCACACATCTCTATTAGCACCACCGTGTCCCTGTAATACTGTTTTTTATTTTCACAGCACATTTTTATTCCCCACCGTCTTCTCCTCTTAAAAGTTAACAGTGCTCTACATATTATGGTGGTGTTTGGTTTCCTTCATGGCATTTAAAAATGTTTTTATTTGTTTTAATTAGTTATACATGATATGCATGGCATTTTAGTAGCTCTAATTTCCATCCTACTTCTTTGGAATAGTGACTGTAAAAATTACTACTTAATAAATGCTTGCATCCTCCCTATTTATAGGTTATGAAAAATTAAATCATTACAATAGTAAAAAACAAAATTATAATATAATAAATACCAGCACTATGAGAAGTCTCATGGGGGTCCATTTCAGAATTCAGCCTTTTAAAAATAATGTGCATTATTTCAAATTCTGGGCACTAAGTAGGATTTTACTTTTCAAATAATACAATACAAATTAGCATAAAATGAACTACATGACTTTGAGCCACCATACAGTGGCCTCAAAGTGACTAGTACTAAATTTTAGTTGTTTGTTCTAAATCTTCAGCCTAAATTTTTATTATTTAAAAGAATATTTGTTAAGTAAAATTTGAGATGAAAAAGGAAATAGTACAATCAATACCACAGAAATATAAAGGATCATTAGGGATTATTATGAAAAATTATGTGTTAGCAAACTGGAAAATCTAGAAGCAACAGATATACTTCTGGATACACATGACCTACCAAAATGGAATTATAGAACCAGGACCAGATGCTTCACTGTTGAATTTTTACCAAATTTTTAAAGAAGAACTAATGCCAATACTTTTTCAAAGTATTCCAAAGAACTGAAAGAGAAGGAGCCATTCCAAACACAGTCTATAAGGTCAACAGTATCCTATTACTAAAACCTGACAAGGAACAAGTACAAAAAAATTATAGACTGAATCCCTGAAGAGCATATATGTAAAAATTCTCAAAATTCTAGCAGATCAAATTCAAGGGCACAACAAAAGAACATTTAGCCTGATCAAGCTGGTTTCATCCCAGGGATGCCAGGATGGTTCATTATATGTAGTACATTAACATAATACATCCTATTCATAGAATAAAGAGAAAAGTCCCGATCATCTCAACAGATGTAGAAAAAGCATCTGATCATATTCAACATTTCTTCATGATAAAATCCTTAAATTACAGGAATAGAAGACTGTACCTCAACATAATAAAGACAAGTGTGGAGCTAACACCAGCAAATAGGAAAAAGTTAAAAGTATTTCTTCCAGGATCAGTAATAAGACAAGGGTGTCTCACTACTCTTACTCAATTTAGGACTAGAATACCTACCCTGAGAAACTAGGCTAGAGAAAGAAAGAAAAGTCACACAAACAGGTAGGAAGTCAAATTATTCCTTTTTGCAGGTGATACGATTCTATATATAGAAAAAATAGACTCCTTCAAAAGACTATTAAAATTGATAAATGAATATGGTAAAGTTGTAGGATACAAAATCAAAGAACAAAAATAAATAGCTTGTCTATTCACCAATAAATAATTTTCTGAGAAAGAAATTATGAAAGCAATCCTATCTGCACCAGCTATATACACAAATACCTGGTAATAATTAACCAAGAAAATGCAAGACCTCTACATTGAAAAAGAAACACTATTGAAAGAAATTAAAGACACACAGAAAAACAGAAAGACCTGGATCACAGGTTGGAAGAATATTGTTAGGCCACATTACCCAAAACAGTCTGCAGAATCAATGCAATTTCCATCAAAATACCAATTCCATCTTCACAGAAGAAACAATCTTAAAATTCATATGGAAGCATAAAAGATGAAATAGTGAAAGCAATCTTGAGCAAAAAAGAACAAAGCTTGAGGCATCAAAATACCTGATTTTATGACATACCATGGAATCAGAGAAACCCAAACAGCACAGTATTGACATAAAAACAGAAACACAGACCAAAGGAACATAATAGAGATCCCAGAAATAAGCCCATATATCTGCAGCCAACTGATTCCTGACAAAGGTGCCCAAACCATACATTGTAGGAAGGACTGTCTCTTCAATAAATGGTGCTAGAAAAATTAGATATCCATATGCAGAAGATTAAACTTGACCTCTCTCTCTCCCTCTATATAAAAATCAACTCAAAATGGATCAAAGACCTAATGTAAGATCTGAAACTTAAACTACTAAAATAGAACATAACAGAAATACTTTAATACATTAGTACAGGGACTTATTTTCTAAATAGAACCCTCAAAGCACAGAAAACAAAAACAAACATAAACAAATGGGATTACATCAAAGTAAAAAATTTCTGCATGGCAAGAGACAATGTACAGAATGGGAGAAAATAATGGCCAACTATTCACCTAGTAAAGGGTTAATATCTAGAATAGACAAGGAACTCGAAAAACATAACAAAAATATATAATCTAATGTAAAATGGGCAAATAATCTGAATGACATTTTTTAAAAAAGAAATACAAATGGCCTACAAATAATATGAAAAAATGCTAAACATCATTAGTTATCATGAAAATGCAAATTAAAGCTACAATGAGATACCAACTCACCCCAGTAAGAATGGCGATGATCAAAACAACAACAAAACAAATGCTAGCAAGTATGTGGGAAAAAAGGAACTTTTATATACACTATTGGTAGGAATGTAAATTAGCATAATCCTTACAGAGAACAGTATGGTGGTTCCTCAAAAAACTGAAAATAAATATGCCATATGACCCAGCTATCCTATTTCTAAGTATATATCCAAAGGAAATGAAATTAATATACCAAAGAGATACCTGCACTATTGTTTTTGTTCATTACAGAACTACTCACAATAATTAAGATAGGGAATTAGTCTAGGTGCTAAAGAATATGTGGTGTATTCACACAATGAAATATTATTCAACCATGAAGAAGAATAAAATAATGTCTTGGAAGCAAAATGGATGGAATTGGAGGACATCATGTTAAATGGAGCAAGTTAGACACAGAATGACAAGTATAGCACAATCGCTCTCATATTTGGAAGCTTAAAAACAACTCAAACTGAATTTAAAATAGTGATTAATAGAGGCTAGGGGTGTGTAGGTGGATGGGGAAGGTGGATAAAGGAAAGATGGATTTGATTAGTGCAAGCTGTATGCATGTGTGAGAATTACATGAAGAACTACATTAACATGAACAATTAATACATATTAATAAAAAAACAAAACTTATTCCTTGATTTTTCTGTACATGATGACTATTTTCAATGCCTCTGACATAGTCATAAAGTCAGTTTATGATACCTATAATCAATAGGCTATATTTTTAAGATTAGATTATTGTTAAAATTAATTTAAAAAACTCACAAGATAAGTCAAGCTTAAGGGTGGTGTTTTTAGGGCATAATGGAGCATAGGGATTTATTTATCATGAGCAAAATATCTATTTTTTCCTGATTAACAAGTAAAAGTGGAATACATACTGATTATATTCTACTTCATGGAATCACTGATATAGCCATAGGTAGAAGAATTAATCTCATCATTTAAAAACATTTAGGCCAGTGCAGTGGCAATGTGTCTGTCATCCTAGCTACTTGGGAGGATTTCTGAGCCTACAGTTGGAGACCTGTCTAGGCAATACAATGAGATCTCATTTCAAATGCATAAATGAGTAAGTATAAACATGGAAAAAGTTAGTGTAAAGGTAGGTATGGTTTTATAAAGTCATGAAAATAAAATTTTCAGGTTTTAGATAGTATTAGTTTGCATTTATCATTGACTTCTTAGTGAACACATCACAGAGACAGTTTTGTTTGGGTTTCAATTTGACATTTTTTTTTCTTTTAAAATATTACTCTAGAAAACTGGGTATGTACCCCTTTTTAAAATTTCTGTTGATGTCATTTTATTTGTGTTGATTTGATGTTAAAATGTGTTTTGTTTTAGTATTGAGAGTATTATTAAAACTTCGCTATACAGAAACATTTTCCTCCTTCTCAACTGCTTTTCATTTTCCCCATGAAAAATTATATTTAATTTTTGTTAAAAAAGAAAAAGACATTTGTATTATAAAATTTAAGTACACTGTTAAGCCTATAAAATACATTCTAAAAAAAAAACCTAACAACAGGAATATATATACACATAAACATAAAGACATTCATCAAAGTGTGATTTATCATAATAAAAACCTGAAAATAATCTTAAAGGACCCACAATTAGGCAATAGTAAATAAAAATAATATACTATAAAATGAAATACTCTACAGACATTATAAAATGTTAAGAAAATATGTGAAGAGAAATAAAAAATAGTTAAAATATATGTTTAAGGCAGTACAAAAAATTATATATACTATGCAATATAATCATGGTTACAGAGAAAGATAGGATGTGAACAACGGGGTATCTTTTTGGACAACAGAACTATAGTTAATTGTGTTTTCTTCTAGCTCTTTATAAGTTATCCATAATGAACAATTGAAATGTAGATATTTATGTATATAATTTTACACATATTTTATATTTTTTCTTTCTTGGGTCAAAAGGCTCTCACATGGCTTTCCTAATTAGTTACTTTGCATATTTTAATGCCTCAGAAACTGTCTTATTTTTAATTTTGGGTTTCTCTGAGAAATTATTAAATATTTTTAAAAGAAAAGAGATTTGTTGAAGTTACAAATGAATTTATATTTTTTCACATTACTATATTTTAGTTCTCATCCTCTCTATTTAGAAAATAATGGCAAGAACTTACCCTTTATGTTGTCATTGGAAATAGTTATACAAACTTCTTTGGACTCTTCCATTGTAAATCCCCATGTGTTTGAGCCTTCTGCTGAAAAGCAGTACTCAGAATTCAGTGAAGACACAGGAATTCTCAACTGGCACAGCGACTCATTACAATCATCTTCCTTTGGTTCTAATTTTATATCTGCCATCTATATGGGAAAAAAATACAAAGAAGATGTCTGACTTCTTCATCTATACAAAAATCCCCATAGTTATCTTGGTCAAACACCTAAAGAAAACACATACATGACAAATACTAAATATGTCTGAAAATAGTATTCATATCAATAATAAGTCAATTTGTCACTTCAAATACAGCCTGATAATGTGCATTTGTTAAAATGTTCTTTATAGGAATAGTAAATTTAAAAACTTGAGTGGGGATGTTCATTATTAGTTGTTAAACCAACAGATAGATGTTCATTTGTCCCATTGCTAAGAGTGTTAGAAATTTAGCTTGTTGAAGGAGAACAGCATTTATAGGAAGCATAATAAAGGTGCTGCATGAAGGCTGCGGGGTCTCTGGGCAGTGATACACAGAAATGGCTGAAGCAACCCCTCCTAGTTCCTCTTTCATTCCCCAGTGTGTGGACCACCTGTGCTTGGGCCTGAATACACAAAGGTAGTGCTGTGGTTTGGCTAAGTGTTCCCCATAGGGTAAGGATTGGTTCCCAGGTGGTGGTATTGGGAAGTGCTGTGGACCTTTAAGATATGGGGCCTTATGGGAGGTCATTAGGTCATTGGGGCATATCCTTGAAAGGGACTGAGAGACCCCAGTCCCTCCTTTCTCTGCATAGTGTGAGATATAATCACTTGAGCTGTGGGTGTAGCTAAGTCATATAGTACTTGCCTAAGAGGTAGGAGGCCCTGTGTTCAATCTCTAGCACAGAGCCTGGAGGGGAAAAAAAGAAAAAAAAAAAAAAGGAGGGGAAAAGAAGAGATGCAATCATGTAATCATTTTTTTTTTTTTTTTAAAGAGAGAGTGAGAGAGGAGAGAGAGAGGAGGGGGGAGAGAGAATTTTTAATATTTATTTTTTAGTTCTCGGCGGACACAACATCTTTGTTGGTATGTGGTGCTGAGGATCGAACCCGGGCCGCACGCATGCCAGGAGACCGCGCTACCGCTTGAGCCACATCCCCAGCCCCTATGTAATCATTTTTTTAATCACTTGTTTGCTCCTACATGTGCTCCCACTGCGATGTGCTGCCATCTACTGCCTTCATCAGAACTAAGCTGATGCATACCTTTGAACTTCTAAAACTGGGAACTAAATAAAACTTTCTCTTTACAAGTTAGCTTTCTCTGGCATTTTGCTGTACTAACAGGAAGCTGACTAAGGTAAGTAGGACAGTGGTGACTATTACAGTTTGGATCTGGAATGTCCCCCAAAAGCTCATGTGTTGAAGGCTTGGTCCTCAATGAGCAATGCTCAGAGGTGGGGCTCTTGAGAAGGGGTGACTGGATCATGAGGGTCCTGACTTCAGCAGTGGATCAATCCATTTGATGTATTAATAATATCATCTGAGAGGTGGTGGAAACTTTAGGAGTGGGGCCTAGTTGGAGGAAAGAAGTCGCTGGGGGCATGACCAGGAAGGGCATTTCTTATCTCTGGCCCCTTTCTCCCTCTTTCCACTTCCTGGCTGCCATAAGTGAACAGCTTTTCTCCATCCTTTTGCCCTTACACCATGATGTTTCTGCCTCGCTATAGGTATAAAAAAGCAACTCAGCCAGCTAACCATGAACAGAAATCTTTCAAACCATGAGCCATAATAAATCTTTCCTCCATTAAGTTGTTTTTCTCAGGTATTTGTCAAGGTGGTGCAAAGCTGACTACCATAGAAAATTGGTACCAAGAATAGTGATGTTGCTGTGACATACTTGGCCATATGGTTCAATACCCTAATTTGAGAAAGTTTGAAGATGCAGGATAGAGAAGTCTTAGAATGTTGTAAGAAGAGCTTAATGGACAATTCTGGAATGAGCTCAGAAGACCAGATTGCTGACAGAATGCTGGGAGAAACTGCTTGTGAGGTTTCAAACCAAAATGAAGGCTCCACTGGGAAATGGATTAGAGCCATTCATGTCACATTCTGTCTACAATCTTGTCCATGTCCTGAGACTGGGTAAGGCTGAATTTAAAGGTGATGGACTAATTAATATGGTGGAGAAATTTCAAGAAGCAAAGCATTAAGGCAGTGGCCTGGGTTTTGCTGGTTCCTTTTAGGTAAGTTTACAATGAGAATTGGGAGCAAAAAACAGCAGAAAGATTGAAAAAATTTGCAGTTTAGTCAAAAAAAGCACGTTTGTTGGGAACCAGGAAGATGCGGTTGTTGAAGAAATTAGCATCATTGAAGAGAAGCCAATTACTTTGCACCAAGATAATACAAAACAAGCCTTGAAGGTATCTCAGGCTCAAGGGTATAAAAGTGAAAACTTTTTGAAAGTCTTTATTTTGAGAAAGGAGTTCTGCGATGTCCTGATCATATCCTGCAGGGCCCTAGGAAGTTGTAGCCCTAGAATTTTTTTCAGAATGCTCAGATACCCAGGGACTCATAGACCACAGTAGCCATGGTCCAGGGGTCCATGCCCCTATTGGTGGCAGACCTTAGCTTTGTCCACATAGTGCTGGTTTTAGGAATGTGAAATGCAAGAGTTACAGTCATGTAGGCTTTCACTGAGATTTCAAAGACAGGCCTGGGAAGCCAGGCAATGTGCAGCAGGTTTGGAATTCCTGTAGGAAGCTCCCAAAAGTGTGATTTTTAAAGCTCTGAAAGTAAAGTCAAAGCAGCAATGGAGACCCTAGGAAGTTACTGATGCCAGGAATGTGGCATATCTGCTGAGGAAAGCTGTAGGCAGAAGGAAAAACCAAACCTAAGGGAGGTATGGGGACTACAACCAACAAGGCCATAGAGATGGGCTGTCAAAATAATGTAATTATATTCTCACAGTTGTACTGTTAACTTTTCTTTCAAAAAATTTAAATGATCCTGCCAGGCTCAGCGGCACACATCTATAATTCCAGCAACTCAGAAGGCTGAGGCAGGAGGATTCAAGTTCTGAACTAGCCTCAGTGACTTAGTAAGTCTCTGTCTCAAAATAAAAAGAACCAGATCTGGAGATTAGATCAGTGATAAAGCACCTTGAGTTCAATCTCCAGTACAAAAAAAAAAATCCTTATGTTTCCAATAGAGAAATTAAGGTTAAGAGTAAAATTTTAGATTAGGTCATGTGGCTAAATGGGACAGAGAAAACTTTAATATACACATCTGGTCAGTGTTAGTGATTAAGTCCATACTACTTCCTTTCAATAGTGTGTGTGTGTGTGTGTGTGTGTGTATATATAAAATTCACCCCCCCCCTTACCCAAATCTATGGTTCATGAGCCTTGGCTGAAATTCCATTTTCATTATATTGTACAAAAAAATGACTTGTGCTAGCTACAGAATAATTTTCATTTTGAAAAGATGAAATAGAAACACATACCTCACTTCTGTTAATTTTCATATTTACAATGTACTTAAATGGGAAACAAGGATTTTCAGCATCATATAAAGTCACCTCCTCTTTTCCCATAATAATTAAAGGGTGAAATATGTCAATAATGATTTGGTCTTCCTTCCTTCTGACATCTAGTGTAGGTGGCCCAATATTTCCTGGAGGAGAGAGGGAAAGTATAATTACTACTAGCCTAGGAACTTCATGGTGCATTTCAAAATTATCAAAATCACTCAAACAACCTACTCTTCTTTTTTATTTTTCTAAAGTAGGGCCCCATTCACACTACTCCACAAAGATCTAGAAGATATTCCAAATATCATTCATAAAGAAATATTTAATAAATCTCAGGAAAACTTCTCTTTATCAGTTTAATTTCACTTCTAGCTCTAGAGAAATACAATTGGTTATAAAAGCTGGTTTAAAACAAACAAAACAAATAAAACAAAACCTTGCCATAACAGAAGCTCTATTAAGTACAAAAAATTTTCCTTTATTTCTGTAAATTAAGAAATCTGGTTTCTAAAAAGGAATTTGAGATATCTTTCCCCACAAAACTCTCTTTAACATCCACAAGTGTTTTTAATGCCTATGGGAATTTAAATCCTAACTTAATACATTAAAATTTTACGACTTAATCTTTCCAACAAACCATGATTTTCACTCTTCCCACATTCTACTCCCATAATATGTGTGATATTTATTGGCATATCTGCTGAGGAAAGCTGTAGGCAGAAGGAAAAACCAAACCTAAGGGAGGTATGGGGACTACAACCACGAAGGCTCTAGGAAGGTTCTACAAAAGTTTGCTAATAATGACTCCTTGTGAAAATCAGAACTAGACATTTAACTACTCAGCAAATATTCCCTGTGTCTTTGATGTGTGGAACTTGGTTGGTGAATACACTTCACATACTAACTGTGCACCTACTATGTGCCAGGCAAGTCTGGCTTTATACCACTGTATCTCAGGGCATGGCATACTTACTAACACATAGTAGGCCCTTGAAAAATCTGACATACCGATGGTAATGTATCAGATGGAAAAGGCATGAACTCAGGAGAACTTAATATTTAAAACCTTAATATTTAAAGAACAAGCAGAGGAAGTGCCTGTGCAAGAGCCCAAGGCAGCACAATTAGAAAAACAGAAGCGGAATCAAAGCAGTGGAGAGAACTGGCAGGCAGCCATGGAGTAACCAAGCACAGGAGCTGAACAGGAAAGAAGTGAAGGTAGAGGAAAAGGAACCAAGGCTGAGCACACTAGGGAAGAGCCAAGTGACTCAGGCTTCTTTTACCCAGGAGTGAGGATATGATTGGCAAGGTGGGATGATGTAGTCAGAAAACAGGAAATGGCTGTGAAGATTCTGGAGTTTGGGTTGTCAATAAAGATCACACATCTTATGGGAGTAGAATGTAGGAAGAGTGAAAATCATGGGGGGTTGGAGAGATTAAGTCTTAAAATTTTAATATATTAAGTTAGGATTTAAATTCTCATAGGCATTAAGGACTTAAGGTGGCTAGGAACAATGAGAACCAAATGAGCACAGTGAGAACAATGAGAACAATGAGCCAAAGTCCTCAGGGAATGTAACTTTGAAATGAATTACTGAGAAGATGGGGGGAGAGGGGAGGGAACTGGTGCAGACTACAGCTGGACGGCACTGATCCAGAAATGTAGAGAGCAAAAACTTAATGGTTTTGAAGCAGTAAAGGGATGGCTATCTCAGCCATATTTTGTGGAGCTTGGGAGAAAGGAATGTTATTGATGCTCTGAATTCCTCCAAGTGTTTCCCTGGCACTGTGATCATTTTTAGCAACTACTTATAAAAGCAAACATACACTGAAGACATGTGTGAGTATTTTCAAATTTAAAAGTTACACAAGCATACATTCTACTCACCATGTTCGCATAAAGTAATATCTTTTGACTCTACATAGACAGATTCTTTTTGTCCAATCCTAGCTTTAATTCTGGCCCAGAAAGCTTCAGCTAAATTATAAACTTGTTCAGAAAGTTCACAGTAATGATGAGAGATATTGGTGCAAGCATCAGTCCATTGTCCATTCCTAAAATGAAAAGGAATAAAGAAACATAAAGGTAGTTTTATTTGTTGTCACACTAACTTAAACCATCTCTGTATTCTGCTTTTCATTTATAGCACAGAGCTAGTAGAAAGAGTTTATAGAATAGGACAGGATTAGAACAGGACATAAAAACCAAAGTAGGAAGCCTCTACTCTTTGGTTAGAAATATATGTCCAGCATCCTTAATCCAAAAAATTCAAACTCCAAAAGACTCCCAAATCCAAAACTTTTGAGTGCCAATTTGATACCTTAAGAGAAAAATTCCACACCATGAAAATCTGTTTCATGAATAATGTTACCTAAAACATTATATCAATCAATCTCAGGCAAGAAGTTATCTTATTTAAATTTCTCTTGAGCTTCCAGCTATGTGTACAAGGTATATATGAAATACTGATAAATTTCATGTTTAGACTTGGGTCCCTTTCTCAAGATATATCATTATTATATACAAATACTCTAGAAATCTAAAAAAAAATCAGAAATATGAAATACTTCTGATTCCAAGCACTTGACATAAAGGATAGTCAACATGTACCATAAATTCCTTTACAATAAAGAAGCTCCATTCAAAATATAAAACTGTACAAACAACATGACATTATAGGTTTTTAAAATCTGATTTTTACTCAATTCTAGATGCTAAAGATGTAGATGCCTAGAAGTGACTCAATTCCAAAATCTAGCACATTACAAAGCCTCTTAAAAGTAATCAATTTTTTAAAAATTTATGCCTTTCTGGTGACAAATACACACACCATAGGAAGCAGGATGACATCTTAACTATTAGCTTCATTTGTTATGCCTTAAAATCTTGTAAATTATTGTCCATAGAAGAGCTCTTCATTTTCTTCACTACTACTATTATTAAGAAAATATAAACATGAGGTTCTTTTCCAATTTCAATATGTTATGTTCTTATTCATATTGAAGCTCAAACAGTCCCACGTTTGGGCCATGAGAAACTATTCAAGGTAGCTCCTGGATCCTTTGGACACATTCCCCAACATTTAAAAAAGAAATCCTTTCATCATAAGAAGACTTTCTAGTTACCATTAGACTTTCCCTGGCTTAACCCTGCAGTCAGCATTTCTCCAATGAAGAAACAGATGGGAGTTTTTTCTTGCTCACTTCCATGTCATTGTTACTGTCCCCCCACCCCCAGTAATCAATTTCACTGATTTCAGATTTTCAGTTCCTATTTTTTTAATCAAAATTAGTACCTACAAAATATTTATTCTCATTTTTTAACCAAAAAGGAGAAAACCATATATATTTTATCAAATTAATTTCTTTTTCATTTCAATGTATCCTGGAAATCACCATATGTAAGTTCATAGAAATTTTCTTCATATTTTCATTTAAAGCTACACAGTGTTCCATGTATTGATGAATGGTCAGATGCATGATAATCTCCTATATATGAGTGACATCTTTATATTCTTTTAAGTGTATTTTAAAGGTAAGGTCCTAATGTGGGATCATCAGGCCAAAAAGCAGACACATGGATCATGGGGGTGAAGCTTGGAGGTATAGTACTTGCCTAGCATGTGTAAGGTCCCGAGTTTGATTTCTAGAGCCAGAAAAAAATAAATAAAAGTTTTGTAAAATACTGCCAAATTCTTGCCAGAAAGCCAGATTGCATTCATGCCAGTAATGTATAAGAGTAATCCCCAGTCTTCAAAGTGCTTTTAAACTTTTGAATTTTTATCAATCTAGTGTACATGGAATCAGCAAATCTTGAAAAAATTATGAACTTTGAATCCATCACAGAAATAACAGATATAATCAACTGGTGTTAAAATATTTGTGGATTTATTGATTCTTGGTTTTAATTCTTGTACTATAGAAGTCTTATTAAGGAAGTTGGGGCCTAATCCCACATGATGAAAATTAGGGCCTACTTTTTCTTCTATTAGACACAATTTCTGGTTTAATTCCTAGGTCCTTGATCCATTTTGAGTTGAGTTTTGTGCATGGTGAGAGATAGGGGTTTAATTTCATTTTGTTGCATATGGATTTCCAGTTTTATTGGCACCATTTGTTGAAGAGGCTACCTTTTCTCCAGTGCATGTTTTGGGCACCTTTGTCTAATATAAGATAATTATAATTTTATGGGTTAGTCTCTGTGTCCTCTGTTCTGTACCATTGGTCTACTAGTCTGTTTTGGTGCCGATACCATGCTGTTTTGTTACTATTGCTCTGTAGTATAGTTTAAGGTCTGATATAGTGATGCCATCTGCTTCACTCTTCCTGCTAAGGATTGCTTTAGCTATTCTGGGTCTCTTATTTTTCCAGATGAATTTCACAATTGCCTTTTCTGTTTCTATGAGGAATGCCATTGGGATTTTGATCGGAATTGTATTAAATCTGTATAGTGCTTTTGTAGTATGGTCATTTTGATAATATTAATTCTGCCTATCCAAAAGCAAGGTAGATCTTTCCATTTTGGAATCAAACTAAAAAATTTCTTCTCAGCAAAAAAAAAAAAAAAAAAAAAAAAAAAATCTTTGAGGTGAACAGAGTCTACATCTTGGGAGCAAATTTTTTACCCCTCACACATCAGATAGAGCTCTGATCTCTAGGGTATATAAAGAACTCAAAAAGCTAAGCACGAAAAAAACAAACAACCCAATCAACAAATGGGCCAAGGACCTGAACAGACATGTCTCAGATGAGGATATACAATCAATCAACAAATATATGAAAAAAATGTTCATCATCTCTAGCAATTAAAGAATTCAAATCAAAACTACTTAAGATATTATCTCACTCCAGTCAGAATGACAGCTATTATGAAGACAAACAACAATAAGTATTGGCGAGGATGTGTGGAAAAAGGTACACTCACACATTGCTGGTGGGACTGCAAATTGGTACAGCCAATTTGGAAAGCAGTATGGAGATTCCTTGGAAATCTGGGAATGGAACCACCATTTGACCCAGCTATTCCACTCCTCGGTCTATACCTAAAGTACTTAAAAACAGCATACTACAGGGACACATCCACATCAATGTTTATAGGAACACAATTCACAATAGTTAAACTGTGGAGCCAACCTAGATGCCCTTCAATGGATGAATGGATAAAAAAAATGTGGCATATATACACAATGAAATTTTACTCAACAATAAAAGAGAATAAAATTATGGCATTTGCAGGTAAATAGATGGTGTTGGAGAAGATAATGCTAAGTGAAGTTAGCCAATTCCAAAAAAACAAATGTTGAATGTTTCCTCTGATATAAGGAAGCTGACTCATAGTGGGGTAGGAAGGGGAAGCATGGGAGGAATAGATGAATTCTAGATAGGGCAGAGGGATGGGAGGGAAAGGGAGGGGGAGGGGATTTGCAAAGATGGTGGAATGTGATAGACATCATTATCCAAAGTACACATATGAAGACGTGAATTGGTGTCAACATACTTTATATACATCCAGAAATATACAAAATTGTGCTGTATAAGTGTAATAAGAATTGTAATGCATTCCGCTGTCATTTATTTTTTTAAAAAATCAATAAAAAAATTGTGGATTTATGTGGAATAGGATATTTATGTCCTCAAAAAGTTTATCCCCAGATACTTACTTAAAAGAACTTATGCAATGGATAAATCTGAGGGCTAACCTCTAAGTCAAATGATGAAGCTACACATCACCATTAAAGAGTATCCTGTATAGTGAATACAAATTAGCTTTTGACAGGCCTCAGATGTTTAACCTCAGATCATGAGGGAAAAAAAAAAAAAAGACTAATCCACACTTAAGTGGTTCTTCCAATTTGGGACCATGTGAACAGTAACTATTTATTCTGAGACAATACTGCTAAAATACTGTCAAGGTGGTATTCTCACTTGCTTCCAATAATCACAATAAATTTAGCTGTGCTTTATTAACAGTACTCTTTGCTTTATTAAGATATCAGAGAGAAAAAAATCTCAGAAGGTAGTTAGCTTTATTTCTATACTTCAATATTGACAGGAAGGAAAAGCAAGAGACAGAATGTATTCAACAAAGGAATAATTGCATCCTTAGCACCTCCAGACACTTACAAGCAGTTCAAGAAGTTTCCCCAGGCAGGAAGGAAGGATGATATTAGGAGAATACAGAAAGTGACAGAATGTGTAATGACTTGAATAAAAAGGATAAGAGCAACACTCACCTGTAGTTTTTCACCTGTACTGTGAAAACAGGGGTCTGTGGCATGATCTGGTACTCCCAATGCAGAATAGGGTTCATATTATCGGTTGTAATTGTAATATTAGTTGGTGTAGGCACTGTAAGAGATTCAAAAAGTTAAATGAACAACAGTAAGAAACTAATATTATCATTAGAAATCCTTATTGTAAGATGTCATGTTTGTCAAATATTGTCAAATTTGATGAAAAAAATGAAATAACTAAGATATATATATCTCACTTGAGTAAATTTCTGGAAATTATTTTTATTGAAAAATGTACAGGAGAGTTCTACTTCATTTTAAATTCTGGAAACACCATTATGATATAAGGGAAACACATACATGGTATAAGGAAATACATTTCCATAACCTTTTAGGACATTTTATAAATAAATTCACTGATTATTGTAATGATAATCATTGCATTAAATCATTAGAATTTTTGTCATTTTATATTATGGACTATAACCAATGTCTAGAGAAGAACTACCTACATGAGGGATGGGCAATTTTATCCTAAAATCCCACCAGGTTCTCAACCCTACATCCAGTACTCTTATGCTTTTTAATACCTTTTCTATAGCACAAGAGCATATGCCAAAAGATTGAAAGAACCACTGACTATCATACCAGTTCCATAAACATTTGCTTTCTGGGAGTGAAGGGCTTTTAACAAAACACAACCAACATTTCTTTTTGCCTTCATTCTTTTAAGCCATTTTAGAAAAAAAAAAATATATATATATATATATATATATAGGCAAGATTTGAATCACATGGGAGAAAAGGTGGATGCACATAAAGGTATCTCCCTAATATCTAAAAGCTCATGTGTGAAACAATGCAAGAAAGTTTAGAAGTGAAATGTTTGGGCTATGAGAACCTTAACCCAATCAGTGAATTAATCCCCTAATAAGGATTAACTGGATGGTAACTGTAGCTAAGTAAAGTGTGGCTAGAGAAGGTGGGTCTTTGCGGATATGCCTTTAGGGTCTATATTTTGTATCTGGTAAGTGGAGCTCTCTCTTTCTACTCCCTGATAGTGATGTCTTGAGCCACTTCCCTCCACCAACTCTTTGGCCATGATGTTCTGCCTCACCTCAAGCCTGGAGGAATGGAGCCACTGTCTATGGACTGAGGCCTCTGAAACCATGAGCCCCCAAATAAACTTTTTCTCCTCTAAATTTGTTCTTGTCAGATCTTTTAGTCATAGCAGTGAAAGAGTTGACTGAAACAGACAAATTTAGTGATGTGACCCAAAGTGAAGATAATTCCATCCTATCTAGCTGGGAAACACTATTAAACATGACCACTTATGAAATTAAATAAATGAATGGCAATAAAGCCATGAGCAGCATTTTTTGAACATAACTTATCATCCTCAAAAATTTTGAGAGTATGAGTTTGTATTCTTTCAAGGGACCCTGGATGATAATGATGTTTACCTGGACTACTCTAATTAAACAAAAAAGTACTCACTGGGTCAGATATTAAAAAACCCAGATTGTTTCCTGGTTATAGTGCTAAACAGTTTTTTCAGATTCCCTCATATATCAAAATAAGTATTAGTTTTATGTTCATAAGGTATTTGCTTACTGTTTAAGAAAATACTATATTTTTAGTAAAATAAAAATTCTAATACTGAAGCTGAAATTGTTTAGTTTATAATTAGTTAACACATGTATTATTTCTTCAAAGCCCAATGAATCAACAGTCATTTAAACAACAATCTATACCTATTGCCAATTATATTCTAATGCACCCCCCCTTTTTTTTCTTTTTTTCTGATATTTTTTCCCTTAACATTAGTGATTCTCAGCAGGAGGTGATTTTGTCCATTAGGGAGCCCCAGGCAATGACTACAGACATCTTTGGTTCTCAGAACCTGAAGGAACAGGGCAGCGGGGGATACCACTGGATGTAGAGGAGAGAAGCCAAGGATGCTGCTAAATACCCTACAATGCACATGGCAGTTCACTATAGCAACACATAATCCAGCTCAAAAGGCCAACAGTGAAAAAGCTGATAAACTCTGCTTTATGTTTATAATTTAAGTGCTTATTTCTAATTTAGGAGGAAAAACTAATTTTAAAACAGAATGCTTTATAGTATTACACCAATACTGTATATATCTTGCCCCCCAATAATAGATTTGGCTACTATCAAAATATCTTTCTTTTTTTTTGTTTTTAAGATATGCTTTTTTTTTTTTTTAAACAATGCCTTTATTTCTTTGTGGTGCTAAGGATCGAACCTGGGTCTTGACCGTGCTAGGTAAGCACTCTACCTCTGAGCCACAATCCCAGTCCCATCAAAGCATCTTTCAAATTATTTACCAATGTAGTTTAATAATTTGTGCCAAAAGGTTGAGATTGTAAAGCCATAATTGAGGTGGAGAGTTATCTCACAGATTTAAATGCACTGAACGCCTAACTGACCTTTCTATGGTCAGTAACAAGATACCTATAAACTTTCTACTTATGCTTCCTGAAGCCCTACTGATGGCTGTTGGTACCTATCAACTTTGGTCTATAAGCAACTTCCTTGTAGGCAAGCCCAAAAGCACTGTTCTAGCCCTGGCTCTTCTCTTTTGGTTTTGTTAGAGTGCTCATGGCTGTACATAGCAGGTAATTCCCGGGCTTCTTTAAGAGGATTTTTTTCCCTTCTTTATTTGCACCTCAGTTTCCTAGTCTGTTTACAATCCATGGTTTTGGTAGAAATAAAAGTCAATCTCCCTTCCTCTGATCAAGTCAACATTAACATCAAATATCATATAAAAATATGTTTGTAACTAGATAAGAAAGATGTTAAGAAAATACATAATGAATCTGAACTTCTTTCAGAAGCCATTAAGAAATTTCAGCATCTTTTGCCTCTTGAGCCGCTGACAATTTTCAAACCACTGGGTCTGGGTTTCTTTTTACTAGTCCTTTCAACAATTAATCTGTCCAGGATTCCACCTTAAGGATGAAGCAAGAACAATATAGGTAACACTGTCAATACTCTGCCTGGAATCCTCCTGAGCTAGATCACACAGCCCATCAGGTACATTTTTCTACTTTCCATGTTATTGAAGGTAAGAGTAGCTGAGCTTTCTGTCATTACATAGCAAAGATCTCCTACCTCCAGTTTCCAACAAGTCTTTTGCTTCCTTTTAAATCCCTCTTTTTAATTATTCCCAATAGAAATGACTTTAAAACTGTATATATTCAATCTGAAATTCCTGTTTTGAGGAAAAGGCACATAGAAGTCAATCATAATACTTTAAATATCAAAGTACTTTGTATTTAGGAGGGGTTGACTGAATAATACATTATAAAAATACAAACAACAATAGACTTGTGCAGCATTAGATTAGTTTTTAATGTGAATCAAACTGTTTCCCATAATTTAAGTAAAATCCAAACATGATTAGACTAGGACTTCACATAGATTTCAAAGCAATCAAGATGAACATGTGGTAGAAGGAAGAAGTTTCAGTGGATTAAAACAGACAGAAATTACTATCAAAGGAGAAGCTTCTGAATATTTAGATCAAAAGATGTAACCTGTGGTTTTAATGTTACCAGAAAGAGAAATCATGGTTATTAGACATCGCCTTTGTTGTTTTTGCCAAGATCACATGACCAGAGATATGAGTAGTTTTCTTCTCAAGTTTCATAATTTTGTAGTGTTTAAGTTGTTAAATGTTCAGATTAAATAATTAACTTTTATTCATAATATGCTTACATTGATTAAATAAAAATAGAGAGAAAGGAAAAGAGTATTATTACCTATGGAGTTTCAGGAAAGATTCTGCTAGAATGATTTCATGAAATAAAAAAAAATAGTCTTATAGATTTTACATTTCTATAATTTATATTTCATGCCCAAATAGATAATTGTGATAATTTTGTGTACTTCATTGCTTTCGGAAATGGGCTCAGAATTATTTGGCATGCTGTCTACAATTATTCAGGATAAACTTTAGCCATTTTAAGATCTAATTCCACAAACTCCTCCAGAACTCCAAAACATAATCACAGTAGAGAAGCATCAGGTTTTCAATACACTTTAATTACAGTGTAGGTCAAACAAAGAGCTCTGGTTAGAGCCAACTGTTTGCTGGGAAGTTGATAAGCCAGAAGAAACAGGATATGAAAGGCTAGCAAGTGAGAGGACAGATAAGGCTGGTGAAGATCAGGAGTGATGGAGCAGTGTCACTGATGGGGCAATAAGCATGTCACAAAAGACCAAAAACTAGCAGCTAGAACAGCCCTGCAATAATTGCTGGTCAGTGTAGGGTGGTGAAGGTGGCAGAGTACATACACCTACAGATTAGTTTGAGGACAAGAGCAATTTCCTTTGTGTTGACAGGTGATAGGAGTAAAGACGGCTGTTATTTGTGCTTCACCCTATAACTGCCAAAAGCAGTCCTGTTTTTTAAAGAGGGACCACCTGTGGAGTCCATTACCCACTCTGACACACTAATGTATAATGTCTGTATAAAGGAGTATATATCCACCTGAAATGGAGTCACAGACACTGCAGACATCTGCTGACTAATCTCTCTCTATGAGAAGAACAAATTGAGAAGCAGACAGAAAGATACAGGGGCCAGTCATTCAATGATTTTTTTTTTTGGATTCTAAGTCATCTGATACTATACTTTAAAAACAAATCCTCCATATAACATCTGGCTCTTTCTCTGAATGAACATCTCTTAGAACAAAAAACTTCCTAAAGACAAAAAGTTTTATACTACTATCACAATTAAATCATGGCCACTCCAACACTTGAACAATGTATTATCATAAATCATTTCTATAGAATGAACAAGACTGAAAAGGATAGGTAGGATTCTGATTTCTAAATATTGAGATATCTAAAAGATATCTCTTTAACAAGACCATTACAAGTAAACCAACTCCTTTCTGTCAGGAATATACTTCATTCTGGTTCAAATTTCATTCAGATTCTTTGTCCATTTTAAATGAAACCATTAATTATTCAACTTATTTGTAAAATAACTGCACTATTGCCATGTGCTGCCAAATTCTGTAAGACAGCTCATTAAGATTATTTTTCTCTTTTATTCTTTAGGTTTTCCTTTATGGAGGACCAAAGTATATTTATCCTTCAAAGTCTATGAATCATGAATAAATTAAAAAGAAAATGTAATACTTACTTAATAAATAACTAAAATGTATTATTTAGTATGCTGAATCTCTGAAATAGGAAAAATTGATTCTAAAGAAAATAATAAGAAATTGGAACACTACCCAGAATATTACCCTAAAGTCAGACAAGAGTAGAAACATAACTGATAAAATAGAGAGGGTGGCTCTTTAAGCAGTACCCAGAGTGCAACAGCAGAGAAGGTAGCCACCAGCAGACTCTGATTCACTTAAAATCTATTACTTTTATATGTAAAAGTGCATGAAGAAAGAAACACTATTAATTAATGCCTATTACTGTAACAAAATACATTCCCAAACACTTGGATTTCTCAAAGACTATTTCACTATAATCTCTTACCTCCTTCCCTGTTCACATCAGATTCCCTCATCTAAGATGAACATTCACTTTGTACAGATAAGTCCAGCAACAGTAAGAGTTACATGTAGACTGCAGATCAAAAATGGGGACTGGCAAGCCAAGAAACTAATCAAGAGTCAGAAGCAGAGGTCACTGTGGGTTTTCTTCCTATGCTCTGGAGATTTTGCATTTTAAAATAACTTTAAAAGCATAGGGAACACAATAAAATTTAGAAAAATGCACTGAAAATCTAAAGACATGTATGGAAAATGCACTACAAAACAGCAAGAGTTGTCTAGGGGCACTCACCAACCCTTGTGTTTCTAAAATTCTAGAGTACAGAAGGCTGCAGATCTTCCTATGGGAGGCAGGAAGGCATTGCACTACCAGAGCAGACTCTGAATAAAGATGTGCAAATTTTGCAGTCACAAGGGGCTCAATGCTCAGGAGGAACCTATATTCAGAAGGATTTGGCACTTGGTTTAATGCTCAGTCCCATTCAGGAATCTGAGTCATCTACCTCTCTGCCCAGTCAGTCAAGAGTTCTACTGACTCTGCCTTAATGCTTCCTCAGACTGTCCTCTCTTCTCCATTTACATCATTATTTCTCATTGACTCTTCCCCAGACTTAAGCAGCAGTCTCCTAATGCGCCTCCTTTATTTGTATCTACCCTCAAACTATTTTGTAAGATGACTGGCTTGTCTAACTGGCAGATCTAATCCTGCATAAAATGATTCCCTTTTGTAAAATAATCAGTGGCTTCCCACTGACTTTAGCCAGGAATAATGGGCATATTATTTTTTTGGCTCAGCACCTGTACTTCTTTCAAGAACACCAATTCTCTTATTCTGAGAACTCTCCAGCACTACCCACTTTTATAATGTCTTTCCCATATGAGCTGGCATGTCACCAAGCTGAGCAAATCAGAGCCTTCCCCTGGGATTTTGTTAGGATGGAAGAGGCTGCCAGATTTTAAAACCCCAAAGCCATCAGTATCAGCATCCATGATTCCTGCCAAGAAATAAGAAATTGCAAGTTCAAGCAGTTTGAGTTTCTATTTTCCTAAGGCCCAGTTGGCATCTCTAATTTTCTATTCAATTCTTGCTTGGATACTCTGAGCTAATAAATTCCTCTTTTTACTAGTTAGCCAAGGCTACATTTCTATCTCTTGTTGGTATACATGACAAGGTATTTCACTAACTGGTTCTCACCTCCCCGCCTATCCTATCTCTCTCCCCTTGGATCTTCAAACATTCAAGTATATGAATGTATATTGTTCCACTAATTCAACATGCTGTTTTACATCTCTGCCTATGCACACACAGATCTCTCTGCACTTCCAATTCTAAGGCTGGGCTCACCTTCTCTGTAGAAGTCACTGACTCCTCTGGATAGAGCCTGGTAAACTTATCTTGCTTTCCCATAACCAATACATAAGTTCAAGATCTTGTCACAATGTACTATAATCACCCATGTAGACACCTAACTTTCCCTAGTAATAACAGTTGGCAGAGTGGTTAAGAACTTGGACTCTGGAGCCAAGCAATAAAGATAATCTCTATGCCTGATGGACAGATCGCTGTGCTTCACCAATTTCTCACCCATAAAAGGAGATATAAATAGCATCTACTTTGTAGGGTTGTTGCAAAAAATGAGATCTGCGAGGTGCCCACCCTTTAACTTTTTAACAGCCCACCTTTTAACTGATAACTATGATAAATCATGATTCTTGAAAAGACAAATCGCTGTAACTAAGATTTTTGTCTTCCCAGAACTTGATCCATGTCTGTCCTAAGGAATGTCTAAGTATTTATTTGCTTGACTTTTGAAGATCAAGCCAAAGTAGGGTTAGATATAAACAGCGCACACACCTAACAGGAACTCAGGAAAGAAGTCATAATACAAAGGCTTAGGCCCTGAGTTTACCAGGATTGGGAGGCTGGGCCTCCTTATGCCTTCCAGGCAGATACTAACTGGAAGATGCAGAGACACTCCAGACTGGAGGCTGAAAAGGTTTATGGATTTCACTAAAGCTCTTTATTACCATACTGTAAGCTTCAAGAAAGCTATCCTCGGCCTGGGAAGTGTCAAAAAGCAGGCAGAAACAAAATGTTCCCAGGACTCTAAGCTATGTGAAGAGGCCCACTGCCTAACAAATCCGCTAGTGAGTCCACACATTCCACCACTTCTGCACTTAGAAGACTGACAAGTTGCCACTAATAACAAATCTCAGAAGTTGGGGTACACACTGAGAATAAAGTTACATAAGCCACGAGCGGTGGCCGTGTCAACTGCCGGCCTGGAAAACCACTTGTTGAAAAACAGGCTAAAAGAATCGGAGAAAAAGGGGAGCTGTGTTTGTTGCCTTGACAAGGATGAAAGAGGCTAAAATGAAGCGTGTAAACCGCACGGACCCCGCGTCGCCTCCCGCGCGGCTGCCAGCCTAGGGCCTGACGACCGGCTGGTCCCGGGATCGCGGGACCCGGGTATGGAATAGCGGGCAAGCACTGCAAGGAAGAAGTGGTGGCGGCCTGACCAGGCGGAGCTTCCCAGCCGGCCGGGGCGGCCCCCGCCCTCCCACGTCCCCTCCAGCTTCACTCGGCAGCGGCTCAGCCGCAGCGACAGTACCCGAGAACTGCTCTGGGTCCGCGACGTTCATCTCAGCCCTGCTCCCGGCCTGCATCATAAGGATCAAGAAGACGAGGAAAGTCATGCTGGTAACGAGGGCCTCCGGGTCCAGCCAGCACCAACAGCGGGCGACCCCCGGCGCTGCACCGCGGACCTCCGGCTTTTGTCACTTCCGCTGTCAAGTACTTACCGGCAGGCAGGAGGCGGGGCCAGGAGGGAGAGGCGGGGCCAGGAGGGCGAGGTGGGGCGCGGATACGCAAATGGGGCGGAACCCAAACCCTACCCGGAATCCGTTTGGACGGGAAGACCCCGCGAGGGCGGGCTGGAGAGAAGCGGGGCGTGGGCGAGGAAGTGGGGCCTGGGAAAGGGCGGGGCCTGGAGGGGCGGGGCCAAGACCCTGACCCCGGTGCCCAGCGCGACCTGGAGAACCTAGTCCGGCGGGAGGCGGGTCCAGCACTGCCAGGCGGGGCGTGGACGCGAGGGCTGGGTGTGGGGCGGGACTAGATCGCCAAGGGGAGTGCTCCCGTGACACCCGAAGTCCTGGGCGACGCGGCCTGAGTTCAAGACCTGAACCCAGGGATACGTGAGGAACCAAAGGTTACCTTGTTTCAGCTTGACGCTCATCTTCCGCAATTCATCTTCCTGTTTGTGTAGTGTCCTGGGGTTGCAGAACTTGGCCTTTGCCCACAGTCTGACGATGATTATTATTTCACCCCTTTAGACGTCGCCATCTAGGCGTCTTAGAGCCTGAGATGTTAGAACAGAAAAGATCCCTTAAAGATCTTTTCCAATCCCCGCAGTTTTGTTTGAGGTTCCTGTGGCTTCGCTAATGATATAGTTTGTGCAAGCTCCCCCAAGCCAGTTTGAATGGCCTTAACTACTTTATTCTTGGAGTGAAAACAACTAGCATTACCTTTTTAGCTTTGAAATGTCAAGTAGTGATTTATTAAGCAGTCTGCCATCGAGAGATCTGCCTTCTTGTCTCTCTGATCACATTTATTAGTTTACATCTCATATTCCACTCCCACCAGTTGGCTCTTGTTGCAACACCCAAGCAGAAGCTCCAAAAGTATATGTCCACCTACTACTTCAGTTCTATAATTACCATGATCGTTTGCAAACATATTGCAACCCGCTCTGTCACCCTTTTTACTCCACTCTATTTTTTCATGACACTTTTTGCCTTTTCCACATTTATTTTCTCTCCCTTTTATAATGTAAGTTCCATTCAGTTGAAATCTTTGCTTGACATTCAATTAGTATTGGTTGAATGAAAGAATGCACTACAACACTAGATTTAAGCAAAACCTTTGAGAGAAAAAAATTTACAAAGACACTGTACAAACGAGAGAGGAATGAATCAGCTAGATCATTTTATTTATATTAATAAATCCCTTAACTCAGTATTTCTGAAACTTTAATGTATGTGTGAGCCAGAATGAGCTGTGAAAATGCATGTTCAGATTCACTGGGTCTGAACAGGTTGAGGTTTGAAGTAATGCAGTTTCTGACAGTGTATACTTGGAATGCCAATACCCTTGGTGCTAGGACCACACTTTGAATAGAAAGACTTCAGTTTAATCTAGACTAATTTATGGGAAATATTACCTTTTGGGTTTTTTTATGATGACTACTATAAAAGGCACCCTCCAATCATTGCAAGGGCATAAGGATAAATAACTGATCTTTGCTGTTTAGGAGTTTATGGACTAAAATAAATCATAATATTCAGTTTGTAAATATTTTGATGGTACCCATCACAGGCTAGATTACCCAGGAACAGACATTGACTTTGGAGATCAAGGTGCAAGGCACTTGTTAGGAGGTGCTTTAGGATAAACCTTTGTGAATTAGAGGCGGAGGAGGCACAGCAAAAAAGAAGTTGATCTGTAATTCCATCCCAACACAGGCTTCAGACCCGACAGGAAGCTCTGAAGCTGGGGTGACCCTGCAGAGGTGTCCTAAATTGATATAAGAGGCTGGGCCATACATTTCAATACTAATCAGTCATTGAATGCAAATTGCCCCCAGAACAGAACACAAATTGGGGCTTCTGTATTTTTAACTGGAGCTTTACCATGAAGAAGGCTAATGGTTGAGGGTGTCTACTTAGCAGCACTTCCTGTGGCAGGGAGAAGGTGGGACTAATTCTTCTATTTCCCAAGGAAGATTTTGGCAAAGCTTCACAATCACAGCACCCATTGGGGAATATTTTTCCAAGGGTCTGTGCTAGTTATTTGGAGGCTAAAGATGCTTATTAATTCACTAAATATTATTGAGTGCTACTATTTATAACTAACACAAACAGGCACTGAGATACAGACTTGCACAAGACAGTTGTGGCTCCTGCCCTCATGGAGTTTACAGTCTACTGAGTGAAACTAAGCGTTAAATAGGTATTGGATAAATAAGTTCTGAAAATGTGGGAATTGTTCATTCTCAGGGAAAACAATTATATTAAAGGAGCACAAACCACGATTTAGTCTGTTTTAAGAAAATTCTTTCTGAAGGGAGTTACAATTATGTTGTGGCCTGAAAAAGGTGGGAGATGGGGTTGTGAGGGTCACAGGCTAATAAGAGAGGTAGGATGTTGATGATATAATACACATAATTAAAAATCCAATATACAAGTCTTTTTAAAAAAATTTTTATTGTTGTCAATGCATCTTTTATTTATTTATTTTTATTTATATGCAGTGCTGAGGCTCAAACTCAGGGCCTCACACACTCCAGGCAAATGCTTTACCATGAGCCACCACTCCAGCCTCCCAATACACAAATCTTGAATAGCTTATAAGGAACAATGAGAAGCATGACAGCTTCCCTGGTAAATTTCCAAGGCCTATTGATTAGAGAACATCCAAGTACATGTTGGTTTTCACTAAAGCCTCTGGTGAGTTTTTAAAACCAAGAAAACAAATTTTGGTTTGAGGGGTAAATGGTGAAGGGTAGATCATTCCAAAACCAAGAGTACACTGAAACAGGGCTACATTTTGAAGGCCACACTTGACATATCTTAGAGGAAGTTAATAGGCCAAGTAAAATAATTTAAGAAATTAGAAATATGGTGAGGACAGAGACTGGGTGTGCAGAACATACTGTGTGTTTGAGCTCTGGCACTGTGTTTCCTTCCCTTTTCTCCAGGGCTGGAGAGTTTGCTTGCTTCCCTTTAAAGGAGACAGCTTGAAATTAGTGACTGAAGCACTAGTTCAATTTTCTAGATTATTCTATAAATTATAGCCAATGCTTTTGCTGTCCCACATGTAGCCATGCCACTGTATCCACATTGCCCTTAACTTCGTTTTGTTGTTGTTGTTGTTGTTGTAGAACTTATTACCATCTGGAGATATCACTGGAAATTAAACACACACATACATACACACACACACATTTATGCATATAATATATTCTCCACAACTAATTACTGAAATTGTGGTAAACATTAACAAGGACAGCTGGATTATAGAAACATAAAAAGGAATTTAATCTGAGATTTAAGGAATTCCTCAGAAAAATTGGGAATGGAACCACCATTTGACCCAGATATCCCACTCCTTGGTTTATACCCAAAGGACTTAAAATCAGCATATTACAATGATACAGCCTCATCAATGTTTATAGCAGCTCAATTCACAATAACTAGGTTATGGAACCAACCTAGGTGTCCCTCAATAGATGAATGGATAAAGAAAATGTGGCATATATACTCAATGGGATATTACTCAGCTTTAAAGAAGAGTAAAATTATGGCATTTGTCAGTAAATGGCTGGAGTTGAAGAATATCATGGTAAGTGAAATAAACCAATCCCACAAAACCAAAGGCTGAATGTTTTCTGTAATATGTGGATGCTAATTCACAATAAGGCGGGAGGTGCTAGGGAAGAATAGCATTACTTTAGATCAGGTAGATGGGAGATAAGGAGAGGAGATGTGGGGGTAGGAAAGATAGTAGAATGAAACAGACATTAATACTGTATGTATATATGTGACTACATGACCAATGATTCTGTAACATGTATACTCATAAAAATGAGAAATTATATCCCATCTATGTATGATATATCAAAGTACATAAATGTAATTCTATTGTCATGTATAACTAATTAAAACAAATAAAAATTTAAAAAAATAAGTTCATATGTCTAGATATATATAAATATATGCATATACACATATGTGCATATGTATAAAAATTTTTTCAGTCGTATCTCTCTTCTAGCAAATAAACTTCTTGTTTTCTCCACTACTATGTCCCTTGCACCTAAAAAAGTGCCTGTAATTTCATTTATATTTACTGAATAAATATATGAATGAACAAATAAGCTTATAAATAGATGTACAATTGAAACAGGTATAAATTTATGCTATATTTGGGTCACCAATGAGAATCTAGAGATGTTTGAATATTATGCTGGTACTAAACAGAGCACTATCCATTCTTGTCTTGCTCACCCTTCTTAGCTGCTACACTGACATCTGATCATATTGGACCAATGCCTGCCTCAAAGACAGTTATCTGTAAATGGCAAAGTTATCTAGTAGATGGCTTGTGGAGCACAGCCAAGGATTAATCCCCATGCTGCATGGCACAATGGCAGAAATGGTTCATTAGCTCACTTTTAACAGCATTTCTGCCTTGCTGCCTTCCCACTATAGAGGCAATAACAGCTCACCTTCCCAACCTTTGTGGCAGCTAAGTATTGTTGTATGACATAGTTTTGGTCAGTGTGACATAAGCAAAAGTGTGTGTGTGTGTGTGTGTGTGTGTGTGTGTGTGTCTAGAGTATTATTTCATTGTTCATAGAAGGGAAGATGCAAACCAGACATGGAGATACACATCTGTAAACCCCATTTACTCATGAGGCTGAGGCAGGAGGATTTTAGACTGGAGGCCAACTTAGCAAGGCTGTCTCGAAATGAAAAACGATAAGGATGCAGCTTAGTGGTATAGTGCTTGCCTGGCATGCATGAGGCCCTGAGTTCAATGCCTTGTGCATAAATAAATAAAAAGGGATAGAGGCAAGAGGGGAGCTCATTGGCATTGAGCCTTTCGAAGTCTACCTGCTTTGTATGTAGACACATTGATGACTAACTCTGTAGGGGGCCTCTTGCAGCTGCAATAATATTGAGGATAAAATGTCAATTATTAATCAATGGATGAAAGGAAAAATAAATTATATTACACACACA